ACCCGTCGTCCATTTATTTGTAAGTCAATGTTCACAGGAGAACGATTATTACTTTGTTATTTCAATGGCTACGACTATTTTTGCACAGTAAGCATTAATTTTTGTTGTATACGGACTCATGACAATAGATTCCCGTAAACCACGCCAATTTGGTTGCCACGACATTTACGCTGATTTTATTTGGCAACTAAATTACCGAAATGGAGACTCATATTCAAATGCTAGATACGCGTAATTGCACGATCGCCGACGATATAACAAAGTATTTCAAGTTTTTAAAAGTAAAAAATTGAGAACATCTTTAACCACTCAGCCAATATAACCAGTATTAAATTATGTTGACTCCTGCTTAGTAAACAGGGTAAATGGGCAAATAAATTAGTGGCCCAGTGCTAGGCCTTACTACTGCTTAAGTGGTTTTAATATTCATGACGTCGCTGTAAGATGTTGCGGCTTGATGAAGGAGGGCCTCAACGTAGTTCCTATTACTATTAAACAAGAGTCAACAGCACGCAGGGTTTTACGCTTTAAATCTTCACTAATAAAGGCTGCCGTGTCGTTGTCTGTTTATGATAGTACTATAAGCTTGCTATTATTGTTCTGCTTTGTAATTACAGGCTATATTATAAATTATGAACGGGATCCAATACTTAGAGCAATTGACTTTCATGCTAAAGTTTCTAGTTCTATTCCCAAGAGCACAACGCTTTGCCAATCGTGTAAATTTTGAAGTTCATCCAGAGAAGTACTGTCACCTTACCTATTTCTACCACCAAGCAGTAGTGTGAGCATATGGGACTTGTCAACTTATGTCTCAGGATGACGGGCGTAGTTGCAATGCTCAGATCTTTGCGATTTAAAGTACTGAGTGGCACAACAACTGATAGGGACAGGCGTGTCGCTTACCACCAGGCGCACAATTCGTTCATCCCATCACAAAAAGATACTTCTTGAAAACGTATTCCATAATAGATGGACTAGACTAGTCGTAGTAGACTTCGTTCTCCTTAGAGGATCCCGTGTCCTGCGGTAGAATGTATGTGTTGATACAGTGTATACCTTCGAGTCCCTGACACAAATAATGTATTGCTCCGTAACCCGAACTTCAAATATGTGTAATTTGTATTCCAACAACGTTCAGGCATCGATCTGAACCGAACCTGGAACATTTAGTTACAGAAAACAAAGAAAATTTCAGGCAAGAATGGACGGCTCGTAGCTCAGTGCATAGACTTGACTGTATTACATTTCTGCCTGACTACGGCGTAGCCAAAATAAGTAACGAATGTTGACGTTGCATAATGGGGATTCTTAAAGTCGTGTCGCCTTGTGGCCTAAGTAATAGGTGCGAAATTTGAAGACCTAATTATCGTAGAAAAAGTCTTGTACGCAATCATTATTTTATAATTAGAGTAAATTAAAATAATGAAACATAACCGATATTTAAAGATTATTTATGAACAATCCACGACAACAAACTCAAAAGAAAGCCAAACAAACGTTACAAAACAAAAAACCATAGAAATAGAATAGAAGTGTCCGTGATTGGCCGAATACCGCCTATATTTTAACCAATCAGGTAGTAGAGCGTTTAAATAGCGTCATTTTTAGTATTTTATATTCTATTTAAATAGTTCTTTTTGCCAAATGGTTACGCCATGTACCTGTTATGTAACATTTTGAGTTATTATTTAATAAAATTATTTTCGTTTTATTAATGTCACAAATGTGGTGACATTATTCTGTTCAGGAACACAGGGATGCATTTAAGGAGACTTTTTTCATTAATAAAATTATAACGTTCTTTTTTTGAAACTCATAATGAAAATTTTCAGTTCAGTGGCGAGTACCATAGACAATAGAATTTTGCTTCAAAACTAAATAGAGAGCCTTTGTGAGACGGTTTACGACAATTTAAAGACAGTTAAAGTACAGGAGTAGAAAAAGTTCTTTTCATAACACCCATGACGTCATCAAAAACAACATGGCGATGGTCGACAATATAAAATATCAAAGAGATCGGCTTATGTTAATAATAAAAACATTCAATAGGGTTACCTAATAAAGGGACAACTAATAAAACACACACATTGCAACGTTCTTGACCTCGTTCTTATTTTAACCCCCGACGCAAAATAAATACATCTTTGTCTTTTTTTCCAATATAAAATGACAGGACGAGCAAGTCGTGCGCCTGGTGGTAAGCGACTCGCCTGTCCAGAACAGTTGCAGTGCCACTCAGAGTTTTAAATCGCAAAGATCTGAGCACTGCCACTGCTCCCGTCATCTTGAAGCATAAGTTGACATGTCCCATGTAACTGTAATTTCAGCAGCACCTTTCCCTTTCTAAACCGGAATAATGCTCACATTACTGCTTGGCAGCAGAAATAGGTAAGGTTAGGGCAGTTCACACCGGGACAGTTGCTTCAACTGTACCAAGCACAAGTCCGGTCGTGTAAGGAGTACTGCTGCCATTTATGGGATGGCTCTGCTAAATACCAACTGGCCACCTTGGATTCTATAGACAAGCGTGCTAAGAGGCTTATAGGTGACAGCGGACCTAGTAAGGCGAAGCTGCAGAGCCTTGAACACCGCCGTAGAGTTGCCAGCTTATCGGTATTCTACAGGATATATCACGGAGAGTGTGCGATGGAATTGCATAATTTGATTCCGCCTTCCCCTTTCCATCATCGGGAGAATAGACGTGGGCTGGGATTCCACCCTTAAGTTGTGGATATTCCCAAGATTCACACGAAGCATTTCGCTTCCACATCTATATGGCGAGCGGCTAGATAGTGGAACTCCCTGCCTGCGGACGTATTCCCTGAACGCTATAACTTGGACCTTTTCAAGGCGAAAGTGAATCGTCGACCTCATCATCACTTTCCATCAAGTGAGATGGAGGTCAAATGTGCACTTATTTTTATAAAAAAAAAGTAATTCCCTGGACGAACTTTTTGACAATGAGTTCTGCTGCTACTAAAAGATGGCAGTATTGATTTTCCAACGCTGTTTTGTATCGGAGGTATTTTAATCTTAATATACGTTTTTATAAGAATATCAATTAATACGCCAAGGCACAAGCGACAGTCGGGAGACGGCATTCCTTAAAATCATTGTGTCTATCCAACGCAAATTTCTCGTACCCACAATCTATACCGTCAATCTTTAATAACCGTATACGTGCCGTGGAATCCAATTTATTTTTATATTAACAATACACTGTTGGGCTCCGAGGCGCTTGCTTCAATCTATTAGGCTTTGCCGGCGATGGAATATGAAACGTGTACAAATATACTTTTCTCAAACGTGCTTTCAAGTCGAACACGGAAAGTTTGCCATCTAAAATCTACTACACTATTGGATAGACGTGGATCACTACTAGACTAGATCATAAGTTTATTATAAACAAAATATTTTCAAAAAAGGAATCGACAAAATAAGAGACGATACTAGCTACAATCTCCGTTTGCAAACCAAATTGTTTCGGGACTGGAAAAGCTTCAACGTTGCTGATAGTACGGTACAAAGTCTAAGAATAGTATGGCCTTTATTTACATAGGCTGCGGGTAGTATACATTAACTTCTACCAACAATAAACAATCTTAAGTAAATCACGTCAAAACGGTTATCACCGGTTTCTACTAGGCTAATCTTCTAACATGACGCCTCAACCACTATAGTACAAAAGAAGCATTAGAAGAAAATCTAGTCACAGGCTTACCACACCGACCTATTTATTCTTTCCCAATATTTTACAACAGTACCACAGTCATGGTATGTTGATAGTTTATCGTCAATTGGCATTTATACCCTTAAAGCTGTCAATACTGCTGCTGCCCAATAAGCCCGTGACCATGAAATTTGGAAGGAATAATAAAAAGTTCAAGGCCAATCACTTACAGACACTATTTGTTGATCAGTAACATAAAAATAAATGGATTATTTTTTCCAGCGTTTTCATGAGCATCGTTCCGTGCCTCCATCACGCATATAAAGTAACTGCGAGAGTCACTAAGCCATAAGAAAACTTTAACTACAGAACCGGCACGCTATGGTGGCTATTTTGGCAAATTACAATAGTGAGGTCAAATCTCTATTTCTTATCGAAAACAAAAAATCAAATACGAGTCACATCTATAAGTTTCTATATTTATAATTAGTATTGCTAGGGGCAGCTGATTAAAAGTTTTAACAAAACGAAAATAGGAATATTACTTAATATATCGTCAATTCGAAACTGCCTTGTTTTGCATAGAGCTTTGAAGCGAGTTTGCCGGAGGTAGAATTTGTGCTGGCCAGCGATCCCATAAGTGACGATCGTATTAGGTTTCATTTTTAAATTTAGAATTTCGAACAACAAATGCCGAATTGTGTTGTAAAATTATATATTCCACAAATTGTACCGCATGTAGTTATGAATTAATACGAAACTTGATGCGGATAAAAGTCAAAACGGCCATCATAGCGTGACGGTACTATAGAGACAACAGTGTAGAGAATTACCGCGTAAGACTTATTATTATTACGAACCTATCCCGTCCTACTGCTGGGCAAAGGCCTCCACTCTCCAAACTCCAAGAGACTTCAAATCATCCCGTCATCGCCGACGTGATCTACCGTATCTCCGTTTTGACGACAGTTCAAAACGGAGATACGGCTTCCATTCCGCGAGTATTTTGGCTGACAACTCGCTTGATATGTAACACACTTCATTTTAACTGCCTTCCAAGTCACATCGATAATTTGGATCTGTGAACGCAGCGTGGTGTTTCGGACACGATCTATTAATTTTACGCCTAATATATGCTGCGCTCGATAGCTCGCTAGTTTTCTTTAGAGACTGCGTAACTATTACATTATTCTTTCGCTGTTTTATAAGGAATGTTACATTAGAGGAATAATTATAGATAACGTCAAGTGGTTATCATAATGCTAATATGCCATTGGGCTTCAGGGGTAAAGCTTGTGAAAAACTTAAGTCTTTCCTTTGTTTCCAGGTACTGGCGGCGCTAGCAGTGTCCCTGGCTCCATTCTCGGCTGGACTCAGCAAAGGCTACAGCTCCCCGGCCATAGCGTCTTTGCAAGGACCTGGAGCGAATGCCACGAGAAGAGATTTCCAGTTGACTGATCAGCAAGCGTCTTGGTTGGCTTCGTTGTCTTTTCTTGGTAAGCATCTCCATATAATCGCCAAACTACAATAAACCTCAGCAGTGGTATAGCTAGGGCTGCGTCACTTGCTCGAGGTTACGCGATATTGAGAACTCAGACAAGTCTTTCATTTATATTACAATCCTTGTGCAACCCCAGCATTCGGTTCCGCGTGACTGCACACGGCGAGCATCGTTATTTTCACCTCTCTGAGTGCGTGCTTAGTTTCTTTTTTCTTCGTAGTGAGCGCCTGGTTTCATTAGTCAAATTTAGTACGCTATTATAGCGTAGGTTTTTTGATTTTGTATGAGAGTGACGTATGTACCTGTTACGTAGTAAGTAATCTGTGGTATAGCTGCCACCTTGTCTCTGCAGTGACCTGGAACGAATGCTACGAGAATGGATTTCCAAGATTTCAAGACCTCTTCGTGCATTTAGCTGTACTTTCTTGTTGAGTTTGTTACCCTATATCAGTGAACGTAAATGTAGTTTTCCTCAGAAATTGTACCATTCGACAAGCGTATCAGCGATTGCACTAAAGCTATAATATAACACTTTTTCCTAAATCGCGATATTTTCCTCGACATCATCCAGGAGCTTATAGACGAATTACGTAGATGTTTTCAGAATCAGGAACCCTAAGATGAGATGGGAAGTTATATAAATAAAAATAAATAAAATAAAAATGTATTTATTTCTTCACAAAACATATGGAACACAATACTTCTTCGCTTGCTGCACCAAGCTAATATGCGGAGTGTGCACTAAGTAATTATCTACCTTTAGTAATAACTAGTAATAAGTTAAAATTTAATGGCTGTCCGTGTAAATTTATATGGTTCTTTATACATTTAACTAAAATTTAAAATTTTGTGCTGCTAGAAGTTTTAATTGGGGACCAGTTGTTGCTAGTTTTTTGTACAGATAGGAGCCATTGCTTACATCGGTTTTCAAAAGTAAACAACGTTTTAGCGTTTTTTACTGGACGTGGTAGATCATTACAGCACGTACTCGCTGCGAAACGAAAGTTGCCCTTGTACAAGGTTAAACGAGGGACAGTCAACAACTGAAGATGCGAGTACCGCATACGAATATATCGGACATTTCCACTGTGTTACTGATCAGTCCAGTTGAGTTTTTGGGCCAGATACTTAGGAGTCGACGAAACCCTCAAGGTATACACCAGACTGTTTGATTTTAAAATATATCTATTTCTCATATTTAATAAATTATAGGTATTTAAAAAGGGGGTAATACGAGATCGGGATGGTACCTTGAAACAATACCTAATGCAGGAGTTTTGAACCTACTGAATTTTATCGGCAGTTTTTTTTGTAAGACGTGGCCTATATATTACATGTACTACATCTAAGTAATGGCGAATTTTTTAGTCTCTCCCTAATAACTTCACTGATGGATGACCTTAATTTGTGGCCTGTTTTGGACTCAACATGTTTTTCAAAACTTAGTGAACCATCGAGCAACAGACCCAGGTTCTTGACTGTAGGAGCCTCAGTGATCCGCTGTCCTCTTACCATCACCACGAGATTAGCACTTCTAAGTACTTCAAGTACAAATGACAATTACAGAGTGATATTTATTTATTAAATACCATGATGTTTTACTAGAATGACATTGGTAAGGGCGATGGCTCCGGTATGGCAACAGACCCTGATTCGAGTATATTCAGATCAAACCAACTCTTCTTTGTTGCGTCCCATCTTTATAATAATAATTATCCTATGATTTTCATTTATGTATTGTCAGATTTAAGAAACAATTGTCGTTGGAGAAAATTTCTTTCGAGATGCATTTTTTGGTTTCCCTTCGGTCAGTTTCCACTTGTAAAACAATAATAATTATATTATTTTAGTAATAATTGAAGATGTCACAAACTTTATTTTCTTTCTTCGAACTGTGGACATTATGGAAGTGAGTATGAAATATTTTACTAGGAGTGTTGTAAAACTATTTTTAATAATAATAATAACTATAGACTCACACGCTCTGGTGTTTGTAGTAGTAGTCCCTGTATAACGGATCATCAGACACTTGCTTCTACAGTTGGACTTAAAAAAAAGATAATCACTGCGAGTTAAATATAGTAAATTAAGAAGTAAAACAAAATGGAGTTTGTGAGTTTTTATTATATATAGTATGTGTAGGTGTGTGTGTGTTTTAGTGTATGTGGTATCAGTCGGTGAGAGTGTGCAAGTCACGTGCTTGTGCTATTGGAGCGGAGTAAGAAAAAAATCGGTCGAATCGTAGTAAAGTTGAGCAACCCAGTATATAGCACCAATTTATATGTTTATGATACGTATTTATAAAGCATAATCCTAGGTACATATCATATCTTTAAAAGCCTTCTTTTTGAACTCAAAATAGCACAGGACCCTTCTTCTTATTAAAAGTAATTGAAGCGTTTCTTGTTACAAAAAATTAACTTGTTGATGAGTTTGTGGATGGAGACACTTGAAATTTGGTTAAATGACATTTCTAAACAAATCTAATTTGATATGGTATTACTAAGCTGAAAACTCGATCCTGGACAAATACAGAAATAGGTTGCCATTTTTGGACATCTCCAGTTTAAAAAGAAGAAGAAGAATATTTATTAATTATAATTTTTATTCTTTTTGTGTTAATTGATTACATGTTGATATTATGTACTAATATTCGTTTCCTTGATCGTATTTAGCTTATTTTCAAGTTTTCGAGACAATCACAGTATTGTTATGTAAATAATATCATTCATTTATAGATTTCTTCTTAGTTGAGGTCCATGCCTGTCATCATAGGCCTAGCGCATCTAGAAAGATTAGATTATTATTATTATTATTCTCCACAAAGCGGAGTCCCTTTGACCTGACTTCTACTTTTCGTGATATATCCATACCGATAGCCGACCGTCTCCATCTATTAGGGATGGAGCTGTCGTCCAATCTGAACTTCGGTAGATACATTGAATCCATGGCCAAAAATGACGCCAGGAAGTTTGGCATTCTTTCCAAGGTGAGGCGTTACTTCATACAAGGACAGTTGCTTCAGCTATATGCATGGTATACCAAACACAAGTCCGGTCGTACATGGATTACTACTGCCACTTATGGGATGGCTCTGCTAAGTATTAACTGGTCACCTTGGATTCAATCGACAAGCGTGTCAAGAGGCTTATAGGTCACTCGGATTTAATAGAGGCGAAGCTGCAAAGCCTTGACAGTAAAGTTGCCTGCTTATCGGTATTCTACAGGATATATCACGGAGAGTGTGCGATAAAATTGCGTGATTTGATTCCGCTCTCCCCTTTCCATTATTGGGGTACTAGACGTGCGCTGGGGTTCCACCCCATGTTGTGGATATTTCTAGGATTCGCACGAAGCGATTCGTTTCCACATTATATGGTGAGCGGCTAGGAAGTGGGATTCCCTGCCTGCGAACTTATTCCCTGAACGCTATAGCTTGGACTTTAAGGTGAGAGTGAACAGGCATTATTTAGATGTGCATGCTACATCGCCGAACTCATCGTCACTTTCCATCAGATGAGATTGACGTCAAATGCGCACTTATATAAAAGTTAACATAACCTACTACCTAGCTTTACGAGAACATAATGCCTTTAAAATGATATTTAACTTTCTCCAACATGCAAACCGGTTTAGGGGAAAAAGATTCCCATACCGACCAAAATATTGACGGTGAACCCAAAACAAATAGGAACCAATTTGTGGCAACAAAACGGCGCAAAGTGACATTATAGTGAAATAAGAGGAAATGAAATTGCCGCGATGTTCTGTTTAAATCCAGCTCAAATGGCTCGGAAACTTTATACCATGGGGATCGTAATGTACGCACGAAGTTTTGCAAGATAAGGATGAATATACTATCTCTCATTAACGATAGAAAGAGACCGAATATAAACATGGGATACCTAAAGGGGTTTCACTCTTGGATGCAGATCCAAAAGGGAAAAACAAATTATAATCGGGAAATCGTTGATGCGAAATGTTTTCTTTTGAAACATTTTAAATATTTATTCTTGTTTTGCTAACGCACCCAGCGGCTGGTTTAATATTTTTTTTATGATACCAAGTGGCGAAACGAACAAGTCTAGTGTTCATAGCCGTTGAAGTGCCACTCAGAGCTTTAAATCGTAAAGGGGCACTGCCACTGCGCCCGTCACCCTGAGACATAAGTTGACAAGTCTCATGTGCCTGCAATTTCACCAGCATCCTTACCCTTCAAAACCGGAACGCAGCAATGCTCGCATTACTGCTTGACGGTAGAAATAGGTAATGACGGTTGATAAATGTATTCAAATGTACATTTACAAAGAGCAACCCCCAGAATTTCTTGCTCATTCTTCTCATGGGAATCTACCTTACGAATGACCGGTAGAGTTGAATCAATATGGCGATTTCGAGTGTAATTTCCTTACCTATGAAATAAAGATGATTTGATATTTCACAAGGAGCTCTAAAATTATATTCATTAAAATTTGTGTAAAGTTTGTGTGAGCAAGATTGGAGGACCTTGTAATATTCCTCAAGATTACAAAAAGGTGTGTTACCACAAAGTTTCTTGCCACTTTCACATTAATCAGCGCTTTTCCGAAGTGAAACTTTAGACGGAGCTAATGTCTAAAAGTACTCAAACTTTTGAGGTCTCGCTAAATATTTAACTCAAAATTCTTTCTGTCTCAGCCTCCAACCACACACCCAATTTAGTATAGCTGTCTTCTATAGCACGGTTACTTTGAACGATTGGCTTCTCTCTGTCACCGCAATGTGGTCTGTCGTTTTGTCATTCCGGGATAGCTCGTCATCAAAATTCTTCATTAATATTGATGTATATAAGTTCTGTTATTAATTCATTACTACAAATGACAAGTTTTGTTACATCCATTAGTTTGAATACATGAAAAAAAAAATCAATCGATAATTTCTATTCTAATGCGTACATGCCGTGACTTGTGTTAATATCTAATATCTAGGCTTTACCTTAATGTGCTTTACTAATAAAAGTCATGGATGAGTCAGAAATAACCAGTATCCAAGGGAAAAAACTAAAACTATGCTTCGTACTCAATTTCGGATAGGATAGGCTACCTTACAGTCTCGATTCTTTATCACAATCAGTTTAGTAGCAATAGAACTCATTGTGTAAGAATTGGGCCATGAGAGTACTGAGACCTAACCTATTTCTGTCACCAAGCACTAACGTGGACATTTCTGCATTCCAGTTTGGAAGGGTAAGGACGCTGGCAGATGAGACTTGTCAAATTATGTCTCAAGGTCACGGGTGCTGTGGTAGTGCCCCTCAGAGCTCTGTGATTTAAAGCTAAAGACACGGCAAGGGATTTCATGGTAGATACATTTTATTTTGGTGTCGCTTCTTTATAATCACATTTCACGTTACTGTTCTTCAAACTGGTAAGGCGTAAAATTCTTTACCGTTTTCTTTTTCAAACGTTATATAGAAACTTCAGGTTATGTTTTCAAGGTCAGTGTGACCTTCCTAGTGAACATGTATATCTTTCCACCAATCGTGATTGTGGATAAGTTTGTTTATAAAAATAAAGTACCAATAGTTTTATTTTCTGCTCAGTGATGCAGCTATAATTTGCAGCACAGATTGTGAGCCGTTGTGCCTGTGAATGTATAAAAAACGCGTCTAATGAACCACGTTTTGGACCCGTAAATAATATTAATAAAACGTCGGGCTATAAAGAGAAGTATGCAAATGGCTTATTAAAGACAATTTAGTTATAATTAAGGCACGTAAAAATAATAAGACGTGTACGAGCGTGAATAGCAGATAAAACAATAGCTAATAGAAGAAAAGTGCCAGACACATTTATGTGCATTTAAATTTTGAATTTCAGTCTCAAAGGAAACTCATAAAAAGGCTTTAAATAAAAAATAAAATACAAAAAGGTTAACAGGCTGCAGCGGTGTTAAATATTTACACCAATTTTAAATTTTAACTCAAAATAAGGAATTTCAATTACAGCCAATTCAACAAACACAAAGAAAAATTCTGACACGGCATGCTAGAAGACGCTGGTTCGTTCCGTGTCTTAGTTGGTATAACGTCTGGCACGGTGTGCTAGAAGACGTCGGTTCGAATCCGGCCGGAGCGAAGGAATGTTTTCTGAGTGTTCGATCTTTGTATTAATAATTATAACAAACAAGTGGAGTAATTTCACAAAAAAATTATTGAATATCAATTCAATACAAATTTAAACAAAGAAAAATTCCTTTAACCCCCGTTCCTTTTCCCAACTTCAGGTTAGCCAAACCGGGACTACCGTACTCTCAACTGATCTACAGATCGAGTCAGCAGACCTTACAATTTTTTCTATATACTTACTTGCTGCAGACTTGCAGAAGACTTATTGAGTTTAAACCTTGTAAGAAACCTAAGAAAGCGATCGTCTTTTTCGCTCTTATTGTATGGATATAAGACATTTTCTGGCCGGCGTTAATAAGTGTGGTATTTGTCTCGCTGAAGCGATAAAACCATGAAGCGACGCTATACACCGTCCAACCATTTAATTTACTTTTGTCATAAACATGTCTATGAAGTTTCATAATTATTGACAAATAAATGCAATATTTCATAAGCTCCGATATTTATCGAGCCGACAGAATATGTAAAGAAGATTATTTAAGTTGATAGGTTTTGGTTTCTGTCTAATAAACTATGAGGAAATTAAATTAACTATAAATAATTATAATGAATTCTCATTGCTGTTATAATAAATACTCGGGTTGTCCGGGAATCATTATTTGAATCCTCAGTTACATTATTAATTCTTGAGTGCACAAATTGTCAAACGCAACATCTCGATCCCAATCAGACAATACCTTCTTTTTGAACCCTCTCACATTCACGGTTAAAGCTTATTCATAAAAAAAAATCGATTGTTATAAACAATCGAATCGGAAACTTATTAGGGTATCGCTAATTGATTAGTACTCAAGCTGTCAAAAGAAAAATAAATGTATGGACGGAGTATACAACCATAGCGTTGGTTTATCCGGAGTCATTGCGTACCAGGTAGCGATAGTGTTTTTGTCTTAGCGATGCTATAGTTATATGCCATGGTTAAAGCGGCTCCTGTCGCTATGACGGGTGTCACCATGTGAAAATCGCCTAAGAAGAAATTAAACTCAATGTACACTGTCTTGAACAACCATACTTGACCAATTTGTAGTTAGTTTCCTTAATTGTTTGAACCTAATCGCTTATACTAACTCATACTAACTTATTAACACAGCTGGTGGAAATATTTCCAGGTGCACTTTTCGGTGGCATGGCAGGTGGAGCAGCGATGCGGCACGGTCGACGACGAGTCCTGTCTCTGGCAGCGGCGCCTTGCAGCGCTTCCTGGCTGTTGACAGTGCTGGCCACTTCTGTCAGAATGATGTGCGTCACAGCCTTTTTAGGAGGCTTCTGCTGCTCCATACTCACTATGTTGTCACAGGTAACATTCAATTTAATAAATACAGACAGCACAGAAACTGAGTGGCGAGGTTATTACAGACGTTGGAGTCCCTTAAGGACCACAACTGAGCCCGATCTTTTATTATATTCATACAATCCCTACTACCCTGGGACCTCTGCGTGGCAGTCCGGCGTGGTAACCGTTCGACAACGGAGGCAGTTACATAACTGCCACATATAACATTATAATGACCACAAATGGAGTTTCTGGTCGTAACTGAAATCAAAAACGAGGTCAACGTTTTGATCTTAAAATTAACTCGTAATTAATTGATTGAAAACGAAATGACGTCAATCCTAATTAATTTCTCATAACTCTTAAACAAGATAAGATTTTATCCTTCAATAATTATATTCAACGAGGTTCACCTAAACCTCTCGTAAGTTGAACCTTGTGCTTTTGTAATAGAGCGTCGAAGTTAAGGAGATAACGTTTTTGGGGCAACTAAACAAATTTTAGAATCGCCCGCATATTTTCGGCAATGTAGGGTAACCATGAAAATGATTTTAGAATTCCACACGAACTAAAATGCATTTCACATGTAATATTACAATCTGGTAATCGATTTTCACGTACTTTCGAGACACTTTGGACCTTTCCTATCGCAAAAGGCATCAGTTGAATATAAATCTTTTCTATCAAGCTGTAACGTAGTATTGTTTGTAAATTTTGTTTTGAGACAAATACCTTTATTTGTACGTACAAATGAGTGAAACATGAAAATCAATATCTTTAAATTAATACATAATCCTACCCACCTTCTCAACCCTTTCTACCTTACGTTCTCCATCCAAATATTACAAAGTTCTTATGTCACCCTATTTATAATTGATAAAACCGAAAACTTTTAACAAGTTCGAAGCATTTTCCTTTTTAAGTAGAGTTGCAAAGTTTTACGCCCTCAAATAATACCTAATACTTGGTAACAGCTGCGTGCTATAATACTTCAAAGTACTTTGCTAATGAGATTTTTTGACCCTTGATTCGAAGCTTCATTGTTCAAAATACGTAGTTAGCTTTTCTTGTGATTGTGTTCGTACGTCGTTCAATAATAAATCAAGTGACAGTTATATTCCAAAGTCAAATTTATAATGAAGTCGCACTGCAACGCACTCTGTCTTCTTCCTGCATACAACGTACCATGTGGTACCATGCCGCTTCGGCCACGAAAATATCGCCACGCTTGAAGCGTCAATTCGCTTACAGCGTTTTCGGTGGTGGAGGGAAGCCAAACAGATTTTTTTTCACGAAATAAATAGTTAATATTGTTTAATATTTTTGGAGGATTATGCTTTAAATATATGATATTAATAATATTTGAAATTAATAACTATTTGCTGTCAATAGTAACCGAACAACAAATATAAACAAAATAATTTGTTTCAAACTTTACCTCCAAATTTGTAATTGTTCTGGTTGTCCGCAAAAACCGCACGTCACGCTCGTGCAAATTCCCTCTTGGAGCGAATTTCGCTATAAGTTGCTAGCGCTACTTTGTGGCTTTTTATACATAAAATGCTGATGCTTGTAGCAATAAGCGAATTTGCTAGGAACGTCGCGGCTCGTGGCCCTCGCGTAAGATAACTTAACAGCACAAAATGAAAAGTAACATTATTCATATTCAAATTAGAATCATCTCTAAACATTACTTTCAGCATAGCCCAGAAATTCGTCTGTGACGCCCTCGACTAATTTTGAAAATTCGCTCGCAAAAGCCAAACTTTCGTGTTAACGTCGAAATTATTATTTATTAGTTTACCAAGGATGAAAATTAAATGAGTTCCCTTGTTTGTTTTATTAGATATTTAATAGAATGCGTTGTAAAGTATAATCGGGCAATTATGTTGCAACTTACCGAGGTTTTCCCTGGAAGCGAATTTTTTGCTGTAATAGAATTTGGTAACGGAGAACAAGTACTGTAAGCTTTACTTAATTAATTCCAGATTAAATAAAAATTTGCAGTGTACAAGTATAGTACGAATTCTAAACAAACGTAATACAAACCAATAAGAATTACATTTGTTCATGTGTTGTTCTCCATTTTCAGGTGTACATCAGCGAGATATCAGTACCAGATATTCGCGGCTGCCTCTCCGCCGTTCTAAAAATCGTCGGGCATCTTGGAGTTCTCTTCAGTTTCACCATAGGAGCCTACTTGGACTGGCAACAACTGGCTCTTTGCATTTCTGCTGCTCCCTTACTTCTGTTCTGTACCGTTCTTTACATACCAGAAACTCCAAGCTATCTTGTTTTAACAGGAAAAGACGAAGAAGCTTATAAGTCTTTACTGTGGCTTCGAGGACCAAATTCTGACGTAGCTCAAGAACTAGCTACAATTAGAACAAACGTTCTAGCAAGCAAGAACTTTAGCCAACGCCAAAGTCAAATATCTGGAAGTCAATTCATAAGTTCCTTGGATGCACGAACCATGAACCGGCTGCTAGGTCCTATTCTTGTTACTTGTGGCCTAATGATGTTCCAAAGATTTTCAGGTGCCCACGCGTTTTCGTTCTATGCTGTCCCGATTTTCAGAAAAACATTCGGAGGTATGAACCCTCATGGAGCTGCTATAGCGGTATCCTTTGTACAGTTACTGGCTTCATGTTTGTCAGGACTGTTGATAGACACAGTTGGACGATTGCCCTTATTGATTGTCAGTTCTGTACTTATGTCCATGGCCTTGGCTGGGTTTGGAAGTTACGCATATTACGAAGAAGTACACCGTAATCAGAGAATTCAAAACGTAATGTTCCACCAGACGATTGGTCAGAATGACTGGATACCCTTGTTATGTGTATTGGTGTTTACTATTGCTTTCTCTTTAGGTATGAGTCCTATATCCTGGCTTCTAATTGGTGAACTGTTTCCTCTTGAATATAGGGCGTTTGGGAGCGCTATGGCTACGGCTTTTAGCTATCTCTGTGCTTTTGTTGGTGTTAAAACTTTTGTCGACTTCCAGCAGGCTTTAGGTCTTCATGGAGCATTCTGGTTATATGCCTCTATAAGTGTTGGAGGTCTATGTTTTGTTGTGTGTTGTGTTCCAGAGACAAAAGGCAAAGATTTGGATGAAATGGACCCAAATTACGTTCAGAGTCTTTCACCAAAGAGATAAAGAGTATGTATTATCGCGTTTACTTGGAAAACGATAATATTTGAAAATTTTAAACATCTATGACATAAGCCATTTAAGACATATTGCTTGCGGAAGATGAAAGTATTGGTTTAGTGAATGGTTTAGATGTTTTTAGAATGAAATTTTAGTGACAAGGTGTGTAAATGCTGTAAAGAAACACCAAGTTTGGTATGCTAAACTATAGGTGTAGACATAAGTATTGTTCCTTGATAGGAATTAGATCGAGAAACGTGTCCAAGTAAATGCGATGACGTTAGTGCCCCTTATTAATGTAGGAACAAAATATAATCGAATCCACCGCGTTGGCTGTGCTTATTTCAATTTTTTTATAAACACCACACGGTTTTATGGTGGTACACTTTGAAGAAAAACATATAATATCAAAATATTTATTCGCATATCCTAAACCATATCTTTAGATTTCAGTTAAAACAAACATACCTAGTTCTAATTTTAAGATTGCAGTGGTCCATACTTTACTCGTACCTCTCTATCAAATATTTCACTAGAAATTCTTTATTAGAAAAAGATGACTATATTTCCCAGAACTCCGATTAGTAATTATTCTCTATTTACTCGTGTATCTCAAAAATGATGTAGTTTGTGTCTTATAAGATGATATTCAAAACTTTTAACTTTTATTACATCTTTATTAAGTTTAAGAAGAGTATTAAAAACTTAATGAAAATTGAGATAATAGTTATTATAAACAGTTGTTATTACTATGAAACAATTTTCTTGGTCGGCGACCCTTTTTCGTTGTCGACGACTACCCTCATTTCGATAACTTGCTGCGTAATCACAATGACCACACGTGAAACTGATGTGGAATCATTTTTTCGAGATTCGAATAATTTAATCCCGTCTTCACGACTAAATTAACACTTCGTGACGCCGATAGTTTTTCGCACGAAATGTGGTACTACAGTCAGGGCTCCGTCACTCGCTCAAGGTTACGCTATAAGTGCCTACCGCTGAGTGCCGACGCGCCGGCACAAGCGCTCATAGAAGTCTTTCATTTACTACCATTCGGATCCTCAGAACTGCACAAGGCGGGCAACGCTATTTTCACCTCTCTGAGCACGTGCTTAGATTCCTTTTTCCTAGTAGAGTGCGCCTGGTGTCATTAATCAGATTTACTAGTCTATTATAGCGTGGGTATTTTCGGTTTTGTATGAGAGTTATGTATCTGTTACGTAGTACAAGTAATCTGTGTTACAGTCAGCCATACTTGGGAGCTACACAGCTTGATCTAGTGATGTTAGTTGTCGTGCTGTAGCAGATTTCTGCGCATGATTGAAATATGTAAAGATTATTGGTATCTATTTTGGGAAGTTAATTATTTTTGTATAGCAATTGAACTACGTAACTAGACCAACTTATAAAAGCACTGCAATAGCGCAGTAGGGTGGTAGCTGCGCTACTACTGATTTTCATACAATATCTGGGAGTGCAGTCGCAAGACCCCTATCGTGGCGTGCACGCGGTACTTTTGCTGTAACAATTAGCAAATGTAATGCGCAGCTGCCGCGCTACAGTTGCGTCACGGCAACGCTTCTATAAGCGTCTAATTTGAAGGCGCCCTAACATCCATTGTGACCAAGAGTTCTAATTTTTCAAAAAAAATTACATTCTAATTTTTAGCAAAAAAAGTTATCATTATCAAAATGTGTATCGTTAAACTATGGTATTAATCCCAGGCTCATAGTTCTGAATATAAAAGTGAAGAAGTGTAATAAAATAAATTATGACGAGTTATTCAGGCTACATCATTTTTGGGATACAAAAATACCTTAAAATACTGGTTAAATATTTTATCGAGCTTTCCTACCTTTACTCTATGACAATAATTGTTAAGACAATAACTATTATAATTATTCTTAATATAGTAATTTATAAATCCTAGTGTTGAACCCCCTCAAATTCTACTAAATGTTAATTTTTGCGAGTGTTTCAAGTATCGTCCAACTGTGAAACTTTTTAAGAAAGTAAAAAAAGAAAGTATATGACGCCTATTATTTTTCGAAACTATAAATAAATGCAGCTACGATTGCGTTTTGCAATTCACTAAGTATGCAAATTACAAACGTATAGAAATTTATGAGTGTATATCGAACTAGATTCACAGATTTCTAATGTTTATTTGTCTCACAAGTTTTTTTATTTATGACACAACATTACGAATAAACTGACCTGAAAGTTTCACGGTAGGAGAGGTCTTTCTTCTATTACAAAGTTGTTTCTAAAAATTCTAAAAAATATATCTAGGCGTATTTTAAAAACTTAGGGGAACAATTTTTTTGTTTTCTAGCGCATTACGGATACTTATGATGTAATATTGTGTGTTTGATGATTTGCGGTTGTAATAAAAAGAATATATTATGACGGCAGTTTGTAAAATCATATTTAAGAAAATCCTAATATAGTGTAAAGTATTGCTCACCCCAAAGGCAAAAATCAATAGAGCAATTTCCAGTTCACACACAAAAAAACTAAGATTTTTATACTAAAACCAATGGAAACAATAAAGTGCTGAACTCAAAAAAGCTATTATAGTAAAATCCAATGCAAACTGTGTAGTCATTTTATATAAAAAAAATGCAAATAGGTTATATTTTGTGAATGTGTCTTTAGAATTTGCTACTTAAAGACGGTTGTGCTTGCAATACTTTTTAAGTAAGTAAAAGCAAGATGGAGAATTAACATGGAACGGGTGATTTACGCGATGATATGTATGGTGGCCCTTGCATGTTTATAATATGCTTTCACATACATGTACTACCTATAGTAACCTGTAAACCATCGAGTATATAACCAGAAATAGAGACGAAATAAGGGCCATCCAGCCGTGGCAACTCATCAGGAAAATGGGCCTTATATCACTTTTCAACATCAAATCTCGTTTGCACTGAAATCACAAATTAAAAAGCTGAAATAGTACAGCGCCAACAACTGACCTGTGTGTACGTCTCCCTATATTCCAATAATATTCTGTATTTATTGTAATAAAGAGAATATCTCTAACTGTTCCATTCGGTGGTGTGGAAAAAACAGCAAAACATCTACATACATAATCTCAGTACAGATTACTAAAAAAACCGACTTCAAAAGTAAGTGGAATTACGTCTACTTGTTAAGTTTTATTGAAATATCCCCTAGTTCGCCACTATACAGGAATTGACACTGGAGATAATAAAAATCGGTTCTCACTACTCAAAGTATATTGAGAGAAAAACGCCTTGAATTGGAGAAAAAGCAAAATCAACCATTAATGTAATTGCTCCTAAATTAAAGTTAGGCGCTATTTATAAAAATGAATCTTCATGCGTGAACAGCCACCCTTCGAGGTGGATGCTTTTCTTCAAAATGAAATGGGACCACTATGGAAGTACCCCCTTTCCAACAAAAAAAGAATCATGAAAATCGGTTCACAAATATCAGAATTATCGCGTAACATACACATAAACATATAAACAATTGACGACACCTTGACTGGCCAATCGGAGGGCAGTTGTCACCGTAATGATTTTGCAGAATAGTTGTTAAACAAATTAAATGACTTTTGGTCTCTATTTCTGGTTATGTACTCGATGCTATAAACCAACAGGAATCAATATATATGATTTTTGTAACAGTTCGTAATCTATAAAATATAACCTTGTAACGTCTTGCACTAATTTACGTATTTCATAAGCCTCATTTTAATGAATAAGTTTTGTTTATATAGTACTTTTTGTAACTGTTACATAATGAAAGACATTGGTAATAATAATAACGCACACACTCAACATAGCCTCGCACTAGGGAAACCCTCTGTCGCGGGTGCCATGGACACACACATAGACAACCATAAATTACACCCAAACACACGAGAGAAATAAATGTAGGCCATACAAATATTTCTCCCGGCCCGGGAATCGAAAAAGCGAGTAGGGGTTTATGAAACGAGCCGACAGGCGATAATCACTTTCACACGAGTGTGTTAATGCCTAATTATGTACAGTAACATACACTGCTTTATCTATACACATATTATAAGCTCTCTATGATGTGTTTAGGAACCGCAAGTTAACTATAAGCACGCAACTTTAAAATTTAGATTTTACCTCATCCCTATGACAAACGTCAAATGAAATGTCACAGCGATCATCCTAGTTTTTAGTTTAGCGATATTCGTATTTGGATGTAGTGCACAAGCGATATCCGAAGTCGGTCCGTGTTTTCTAGATTTGCATATACTCGCATTCGGAACGCGCTTATGCTATGTTAAACCCTTCTTCAAGTTGTCAAAAAACATCGCTCATTTCCACTTACATTTTCTTCAGTTTGTGGGTTTCCAATTTATTGCACTGTGTTATTTACCCGTCCCATGTGCTGAACCATGCTAACTAATCCAATGAACACTATGCCAATTTAATAATGGACAGGTTTTATTTTGTTTTTTGTTTCTTTATTTCTTTTTACAAAATTCGGGGAGCATAATATATAAATATGGCTGTTTACATAAATAACAGAAAATAACCAAAAAATAAAGTTGATGTAGTGTCCATTGGAGATATCGAATATAAAGTTCAAATTAGAATGATGCCTTTACTAGCTTATGCCTGCCACTTAAAGCTATACGCTTAATAATATTTATTTTAGTAAATAATTACAGTTTTTAAAAATAAGTATTTAGTTTAGTTACAGAAGTAATTGGTTTTTAGAAAAAATGCTGTAGTTAACAAAATGTTTAGAAGGCCTAAAACCCCTGCGTGAAATTATTTAAAACAATATATTTTTTAAGGATATAAAATAAGTAATTGTTTGCATATGTATAGACATCATATCGATGCCATTAAACTATAACGCAGTATAGCAGAATACTGCGATTTTGAACTAAGCTTACAGCGATGAGAGCATGCGAAACTTTATCGCGAATAAAGCACCCATCTTGACGAATCAAAATTGACAACCTCGGTGGCCCAACGGTTTTTACTGTCGGCGCTGGATCAAATTGGGAAATTAACTTTTCTACAGTAGTCCTGGTCTCATAGTACAGGGAATTCCCTAGTTTGAAATCAGGCAATTGATG